TATTTTTTTATTATTTTTAATTAAAATTTTTTTCTTTTCAATTGTTCAAATAAATCTATATTAATTATTTTTAATACTTAATTAATCATAATTTTTATAGATTTAACACTTGTTTCACTATTATATTACATGAAGTGATACACTTACTAAAATAATTTTAACGCATCCCTAGACGTAAAGGTAAAATATAAAAAGGTGAACTTCTTTCTCATTTGCTCATACATGCATAAAATTGGGATACAGTCTTTCTTTAGATGTTATGTCAAATTTTTATTGATAATTTATACCATGTCAAGGGTATAAATGTTGCGTGGACCTCTTCAAGAGGATTGCCAGGTCCTTCTGGTTGCACTTACTAGAGTATGTAACATCAAACCAAATTTTTAGGCCAAATATCTTACTTGTCCCCTAAACATTTTTTTTTCTACAATCAGTACCCTAAACTAATTTTCTTATCAATTAACATCCTCTATAATTAAAAAATCATGAATAACCCAAAAATTAACAAAGATGTTATGTGCCATTCATGTAAACATTAAATTCTATTAATGTTTGATGACATGTCAAACTTTTGGTGATGTATATGAATTTCATATGACAAAGCATATGAGTCTTGGTTCTCACTAGCACCACCACCAAAATTTCCCCCAAATCCCTTACTTCTAGGTTCTCATTAGCCTTTGTTCCCCTTAAGCTCTGTTGTTGTCACTACTGCTCAAGACCCACTTCTCTTTCCTTCTCCACAAGAATCACCCTATTTCAGCCATATTATTCGTTAAAGGCAAGCTTCCAAATGCAATCCTCTCCTACTTAGACTCCGGTGGCAAGCTCTAAATTGCCACAATTTCCACTCTCACCTTCAGTAAGAAAGCCATCCTCTTTGCCATCTCTTGCACTTTCACTTGCAAATAAAATTCATGATTTGATTCAATTTTTGAAAATTCATGATTCAATAGAAAAAAAATATAATCATCCAAAATCAAAGAATCCAAGGATATTGAATGAGTGAAAGGGAAGCCTTTCAAGGAGATTTACAGAGGCTGATAAGACTGAGAGTGAAGTAGGGTGTGGGTTGATTGTCAATAAAAAGAATCGAAAAAGGTGGGTTAGAGCCCAATGGAAGTGATCTAGATTCTAGAGCCTATTCCTTTGCAAACCCTAGATCTTCATTTCTCTATTTGGGAGAGAAAGATGGATTGGAGCCGAATGGAGCAAAGTTGATTTTTTTCCACACCACATCATGCCATGTCATTAACAATTTTGCTAAGTCATTACATTTTATCCATGTAATGACCACATAGGCAAAATTGAGTCAAGCTTACTGGATTTTAGTGGACATGTGACTTGCACATGACATCTCTATTAACTTTTGAGTTGCTTGCTGTTTTTTAATCATGGAGGGTGTTGTTGGGAGGAAAATTAGTTTAAGGTGTTGACTATAGAAAGAAAAATTGTTTGAGGGGTAAAAAGGGGATTTGGTTTGGCCAATTATTTAAGTCTGAAATATGAAGTTTCTTGTGGCATTTAATATTGTCAATTCTATAAAGTCAAAAACAATGAAACAAGTGCAAATCAGCAAGAGAAGGAAGAAAGAACAGTTCAAATCATGAAGAAAGCTTCAAAA